GTACATGCCTACCAGTATAAAAGGGCGCTTGTTTTTCCTTGCCCATCTTAATTTCATGGGACCCAAATCAGATTGTCACTGACTGACTTTTTTCTTTACTATTTTCTTTTTGCCTTCTTTCTTTTATTCTTCAACACTTTCTAGTCTTGGAGTGTTTGAAATACTTGTACGTCTCGCTTCCGTGGTCTTCTTTTTTAATGTTGGGGTACTACAAAGCCATTTAGGGAACGCTGGCTGCCAACACCTTAAATTGGGCCCGGACTTCAGTGGGTAGCCAGTGTAGGACTGGTGTTACATGGGCATATACACTGTTGTACAATTTTTGCAAATCCTTGGGCTGCACGCCTGGCCTTTCCTGCCTCCCTCACAGGATAGAGATCCCTCTTGTGACAGGGAGGGCCTTTGGCGTGCTGAGGTCAGCAGCTTTGCATCATCCTGCTGCCTCTCTCGGGTTGGTGAGCAGGGCTCTCTGCTGACATTAGAGGTCAGAATTTGAGACAAGGGATGTCCAGAGGCACGAGAAAATGGGAGGATGGGTCTGTGTACTGAGTCAACACCCAAAGGACCTTGTTAGAATAGTAGTGATTTCTTTGCATCGGGGTTTCTGGAACAGATTCTTGTAAAGAGAAGTGTACTTGGGGGAAAACCGGTTCTCTAATTCCCTTTGAAAATATTTTCAATTTGCCATTTGGAATGAGAGTTTTCTTTGCACAAATATTTTTCTTGGGGAGAGCCTGTCACTTGGTAGCAGAGCGTGTGCTTTTCATGCAAGAGGTCTGGATCTGGTCCTCACCTTGACCAGTTAAAAAATTTGCCTCTGCGCTAGGCTGGGCAAAACCTCATTTAGCTGGATAAGGTGGGGAGCCACTCCGGGCTAGCTGAACTGATGGCCTGAATGTCTATCGTGCAGCTGCCCTTCTGCTCTACTAATTTTTTCTGAATATATGTATTTATTTATTAAATGCCCATCCAGCTGTATGAGCCCCAAAGCTGGTGAGTGCTGCCTAGTAGTTATAGCAATGGACTGGGACTCGCAAGATCCACGTTTCAGTCCTCACTTGGCCATGAAGCTCAGAGGGTGTTTTGGGGCCAGGCACTCACTCTCAGCCTAGCCTACCTCGCAGGGTTGTTGTGAGGTCAGGACAGAGAGAGGGAGGAAGTTATGTAACCCATCTTGGGTTCCGTGCACAGACAGAAGAGGGATATGAAAATAATAAAAGGAAAAGAAAGACGGTGCATAGAAATGACCAAGGCTACTTCCAAAGGGAGGCCTTTAAGCACTACCAGTCCAAGGGCATTGTGCAAGGATCCCTGTTTTTTCTTCGATAATTTTTTATTTTGCCTGGGAAACAGGCAAATGAGTCTGGCGTCACGGCCTGCATATCTCTTACTGCCGAGGTGCCAGAAGTCCACCGCTTGGCCGCCAAGGCCACCCTTTGGCCCCTGAGACGCTCACAGGCATCGGCTGCCCGTCCTTGCCCTCCCGGGGGCACCCGTGCTGCCCCCGTGCGTAGAGGAGAGCTGCGATTCTGCCAGAGGGGCCGCGTGTGCTGTGCTCAGCCCTTCCGCTCCAGCCGGCTCTGCTTTGTGAACAAAGCTGGTGAATCTGTTCAAGAAAGAAATGGGGGAGTTTGATGAAAGGGATGCTAAATGTCAGATTAGCATCACAATATTTAAATCTAAATTCACGGAACCAAATTCAGTGCCTTAGAAGGACACGGAAGGAGTGCAGCGGTGGGCCCGGCCGGCACAGCACCAGGCACTCCGTGTGCTTGCATCAGCGGTGCCACGTGGCTCCGGAAGCCCTCCTGGGCTGCCCTCCTGGCACGCTGGTCAACATCTATTGCTCCAGCACCTTTGCTGAAGTTCCCCCACAAACCTGGCATCCCAGCAGTGTGCAGAGCTTCCTTGCTGCTTTCTGATGGGCACGATCCCTGGGCCGTTGTCTGGGCTTGACTGAGGGGCGCGGGTCGGTGCAAGCTGGGTGCTGGAGAAGAGGAAAAGCCCAGGGGGGTCCTGCCTGCGGTCGGTGCCTTCAGCAGGTGAAAAAGGGGCACCGGCTCCGTGCAGGCTTTGCTTGTGCTCGGATGAGGAGCTCAGGGAATGAATCTGAGCAGCTGCCGTTCTCAGTGTCCTGCCATTTTTCCAGGGCACGCCGACCATTCCTGTTGGCTTATGCACACGGTCTGAGTTGCACAGCCCGCTATGTTGAAAAGCTCTAGAGATGTGTGCGCGTGAGGCGCTACTTGTGTTTTCTGGTGGCCAAGAAGTGTCTTTGGGGAGAGGGGAGCGCGGAGAGACTCCGGAGTGGATTATGTAAGTCTGTCCCAAGAGGCTTGAAGCAGGAAGCAGAATTTTGCAGGGATGCGCTGGCCGGAGAGCGCTACGTGGCCTCGCGTGGATGAGTGGCAGTCATCACAATTCTGCATCAGGCAGCATTTTGCCTTCTTAAGGCGAGGCTGCAGCTTGGAAGAAAATGTGCTTTCCCGCTGGATGCCTGGCAGCTGACGACGGCCGCCAGGGCTCCTACCCGCTTGGCTGCCCCTCACTCGCTCAACTTACTGCCGTCCCCGTGCCCTCGGCTTCCCCGGGTTACGGGCAGGGACGTCTTTTGCTCCCGTTTAGCCATTTGTCCAGGGCATCCGCTTCTTGGCTCATTTTATTTGCATCCTATGAGAGTGATAAGAGTGGAGTGTTCTCTCAGAGGAACCTGTCTAAATATTATGAGCCTGTGTTGGAAGTTTGACTCTGAGGGGAGCTGGGCAGCCACTGAGGCAGGGCCTTTTTGGTGGTGGTACCTCTGCCCATGTGCACAGTATGTGCACATGTGACTTTCCCTAGTATCCAATGTGCTGTGCTCTCTAAAGACTTTCTTTTTTTCCTGGCTTTAAGAGGTTCAGTGTACTATGAGAGAGGTTTTGTGGTATGATCTCCCAGTGTTAGAAATTGCAACTCTTTTATTTTGCTCGACTATTTGTTTATTAAACATTGCACTCCTGGCTTCCTGGTGCAGCAAGAAATTGCATGGGAAATGATTTGAAAGGACAGCTCACTGGAAACATATGGCAATTTTATATCATATGCCTTTATTTACAATCAGAAAAATACAGCATATATTGGAAGCAGCACTTATGGGAAAATATCAGGGCCAAAAAAGGCTTTATTTTAAATCCATATCCTTCAGCTTTCTCTTTTCTTTTTTACGCTCCGGTGGGTATAGTGGGCCCAACTCTCTCTTACAAGCCCCCCACCCACCTAACCAGGGTCCTGATCCAGATTGGTGCAGGGAGGCTCCGTCTCCTTGGGAGTAAAGGTGAAAGAAGACACTGCTGCTGGATGTGGCTTTCAAGAAATTCTGTCTTGAGAGTGGCTGGCTGCACCCCAGGGTGCTTCCGATGCTCCAAACAGACGTTGATTGCACAGAGGCTTCAAGTGGTTCCTTGACTGGGGAAGTGGGAAGAGGCATCGTCTTCCTGCCGCACCATGGAGAAAACTTAAAATAAGCCTCCTGAGCGATTCACCAAAATCTCCTTAAAGGCGAATCCAAAGGGAGCCCTTCCCTGAACGATACTGGCAAGGAACTTGCCTGACCAATGGGATGGCAGGACCAGCGTTCATCAGAGTACAGATTTTGGAAAATCTTGGAAAATGCTTTCCTGAAAGGTGGTGTAGGAAGCAGTCGCCCCTCCCCGCATTTTTCTGGCTCTGTGTCGACTTGGCTGGCGGGCCTGAAACAGGGACTCGGAGAGGAATGTCCCGGGGGCACAGTGGCTGCCCAGATGTGGCCGGATGAGCCTGCAGAGGCTGCAAGCCTCGGGCTGCTCTTGGGCCAGCCTGGGAGCCGGGGGTGCGCCAGAGGGAAAGCTCTTCAGCTTGAGGGCTCGGGCACTGGGGCTGGAGGAACGCAGCAAATTCTCACGCGCAGTAAGCATTCTCACTCGCGTGTGCCTGATTGCGTCCCTCCTGCTGTTCAAATTGTGCACCTCGTGACAAATGGTTACATCGCACCTCGCCTTTTTCAGTGGTTTGGGGAAAAGTGTATTTGCACTGGGCTGCATTGGGGCATTGCAAGCGAGGCAGAAAGGGCTGAGGGGCCCGTCTCTATGCTTCCTCCATCCATCTTGCTCCTGGCGTGGTTTTAACGCCGGTCTAGGCTCCAGAGTAGCAAGATGCTCCCCTTTCTGAGGAGGGGCTGTGGACTGGTGTGTCCAGTCCATGGCTGGCCTGCAGACACCCTCTGGTCCGACCCCCAACACCTCCAGGTACAAGGATGAAGCAACTGCAGGTGAGGAGGCGCCCTCTTCCCGGGACAAAATGAGGTGCCGCCAATTCCGGGCCCCGTGCAGCCAAAGGCACCCCGATGCTGTTAAGCCATCCTTTCCACAATCCGGAACACTAGTGATGTGTTGAACTACTGTCCCCATCATCCCCAGCCAGCATGGTTCTGGCCAATGCTTGCTGGGGATTATGGGAAGGGTAGCTAACCAATCTGAAGGGCAGCAGGGTGGGGAAGTCTGTCCTGGAGAACTTAGGAAACCCTTTTCTTTAGATATTCCTTACCAAATAATACTGAGCTTGTCAACTAGTGCTTTCTCTTTCTCTTGTCTGGCGAGTTTGGAAGTATCCCATCTCTGACAGAGGCCCCTGAAAGAGGACAGAGGCTTGCTTTAAAGAGGGATGTTGACAAAAGCTGTGTTTGCCTCTGGTCCAACATATTTTTTCCATTCTCTGGAGGCAGTCTTTTTTTCCTTTTTTCTTTTCCTTTTTTCTTTCTTGCTCGATTTTAATTTAATTTTAAAGGCTTTGCATTGCTGTGCTTGCTGTAGAATAATAATTGCACTCCAAAGTGGTTTCTCATAAGATCTTTTCGAGAACAGCTGTGCATCCCCTTGTGCACTGGAGAGAGCCAGTCAAAATGGCAGAAAGGGAGAAAGTTCTGCACCAAAATGTATGGACCAGGTGTTGAGTAACCTGTCTCAAATCTTTCCCTTCCCACACAGGTGAGTGTCCTGACCACCTTGGAGCGAAGATTCAACCTCCAGAGCGCCGACGTGGGCGTCATCGCCAGTAGCTTCGAGATCGGAAACTTGGCCCTCATCCTTTTTGTGAGCTACTTCGGGGCCCGCGGGCACCGGCCACGCTTGATCGGGTGTGGGGGGATCGTGATGGCCCTCGGGGCCCTGCTCTCGGCACTGCCCGAATTCCTGACCCACCAGTATAAATATGAATCTGGGGAGATCCGGTGGGGAACCGGAGGGAGGGACGTTTGTGTGATCAACGAGTCCGCCAGCGACGAGGGACCAGACCCGGATCGTATCTGCCGGAGCAGGACTGCCACGAACATGATGTATTTGCTTCTCATTGGCGCACAAGTCCTCCTGGGGATTGGGGCCACGCCTGTGCAGCCGCTAGGAGTTTCCTACATTGATGACCACGTGAGACGGAAAGATTCTTCTCTGTATATAGGTAAGCGATGACGCTTCCTGGAGGAAAGCCTTCAGCCCTTTCAGTCGAACTTGCCCTCCTGTCTTGCGAAGAGGGTCAAACATGGGGTGGGATCGTGTCCTTTGGTTCGGCAAGACGCCTCTCGCACCCTCCACAAATAGTGTCACTCGGCCTTCTCCTGTCTGCTGCTCTCCAGCTGTGAGAGTCTACAGTTCCCATCATTCCTAGGCAGCATAGCCAATGTGTGGGAATGATGGGAGTTGCAGTCCAACACATCTGAAGAGTACCATGTTGGAGGAGGTCAATGCCACATGTTCCGGGTTGCTTCTGGTGTTTTCTCTGTGCCAGACTCCCAGCAGCCTTGGTCCTGGCATTTTTTGCAGCTGTACAAGATGAAGTACAAATTTGATTCCTTCCTTTTCCTCTCTTCACGTTCACAGAGGAGGTTGGAGGCAGAAACAATAGGGTGTTCACTTAGGAATCTGCTTTCTGAACCAACAGACACTCTCTCTGGGGGCTGGCTGGCCCTGGCTGCAACAGAAATAATGCAGACATTTTCTCCAGCAACTTGCCTGCTTGCTTCATCCTGCAGAGAGAGGAAGACATTAGCTCAGATCCTGGTTGTGTCCTGTGTGGACGTAGACAGCGAGAGAGTGCCGGAACCTGGCTACTTCTTTGATTCCTCTCGCGGCAGCGTTTGTGCTTGTTCTCACATCCGTGGGCCTGTGTAGCGTAAACGAAAGGACAAGTTGTCGTGCACCCCTGTCTAGAAGTTCTCTCTTCAGTGTGTGGTTGTAGCAGGACTGCTCTTCCGCTGGTCTGGAAAAGGCCTCGGTGACCACGGACCCTCCTTTCCACCTTCTAATTCCATAACGCACAAGGTGCCCCTTCCTCATTTCCCAGGTATAGGCAGGAAACCCAGCCAGCAGGTTGAACAGTGCCCCAGTGGGCTGCCTTGTAGGACTGGTGTGTTGCACACAGTGGGGTGGATGGGTCAGGAGTCCGTGCAGGCCTACTCTAGAGTAGCCTTCCCCAACACGGTCCTCTCCAGATGTGCTAGGCCACAGTCTGGCCAGCATGTGCATGCAGCTGGCTTCCAGAGGTTGATCTTGCAGCATCTATCGCATTCGGTCGCGTCCGGGTGTCCCCACATTCTGTCGCCTGCTCCCATCACCAGATTCCCTCAAGTCTGAATGTTGTTCCCATTCAAGCGGAGATGGGGCTTTTTGCATCTGTGCCACTGATTAGTTTCGGGCCACATTTTTTCCTCCAGACTTCCGCAAACAGTTGTTTGCTTCAGAGCAGAGATGGGCCTAGTTCATAGACCAAAAGGTTTGTGACAGAAAAGCAGTAACATTTGGAAACTAGATGCGTTTTGTGGATGTCCGCGGTGACTGGATGGCAGCAGAGAAGATGTGATTACAGATAACCCGTCTTGCATTGTCTTTCTGCTTCTCTAATTGCGATGGCAGAGTGGAGAAGGCCATTCCTTTTATTCTTGGCTCAAGGCCTTGGAGAAAGCTGCGGATCTGCTAAGAGCCCCTTTGGTCTGAGAACCGCAATGAGGCTGCAGGCAGCCAGGAGGATATTCTCCAAATCTCCTCTGACCGAAGCACCCAAAAGTCACTACGGTTTAGATAAGTTTGGACTGACTTGGCATTTATTGGTTATTTATCTATTATATGATTTGTGGGTAGCCATTAGTTTTATGAGTATTAGTACCTTACTTTTACATCCCGCTTTTCTTTCTCTTGCAAGAAACCCACAGCAGCTTACAAAGTTTTCCTCCTCTCTGTTCTATCCTCACAACAACAACCCTGTGAGGTAGGTTAGGCTGAGAGCCCGTGACTGGCCCAGTGGGTGCTGTGGCCCAAGTGGGGACTAAACTTGGATTTCCTGAGTTCTGGTCCAAAATTGTAACCATTGCCCACACCGGCAGTCCCATCCCCACACGGCGTCTCTTAATTCCCCTAAGGGCAAATTCCTGTGCAGGTTTAAACAAAAGCAGATCTTGAGCTCCCAGAATGTTCCATGCAAACTACGGTTGTAGGACTTGTTTCTGTCTAAACATGCACAGATTGCGCCACAAGCCAACCTTGGGGATGTTCTTTCTTAAAAATTTATGACTGGGGCAGGGTGGAGCATCTTCCGGTCTAGTGGGAAGGACATGTTTTCTTTCCAAGCTTGCAAGTTGTGTAGGCATGTCTTAAGGTTTGGAATTTTGTTTTGCACTTGGGACCAGAAATGAAGACTTTGCATGAACACTCTCATGAGTAACAGTCGTGGCTTAAATCTTGGCCTGCAGTGAGGGCAGCTGAAGGTTCCAGTCTGAAGTGGTGGAAAGGACACACCTCTAGCCTTGTGCCGGCCTTGGAGGATGGGCCAAAAAGTGGGCGGCCATGTTGAAAATGTAGCAGGAGGCTGGGATATGGGAGAGGGTGTTCTGCCTGGCCTGGGGCAGATTCTTCGCCAGATCTGGGAGTCCAGGAATCGCTGCTCCCAGCCCGCCTGCCTGCTTTTCCTACTCCTTTATTGACTATGAAGGCTACTCCATTTCTTCTGAGAGATTCTTGCCTGCAGTAGTATACCTGATGGTCATCTGGATTAAATTCACCCATGCCTGTCCATTTTAGTTCACTGATTCCTAAGATGTTGATGTTCAGTCTTGTCATCTCTTAGTTGACCACGTCCAGCTTGCCTTGATTCATGGATCTTACATTCCAGGTTCCTATGAAGTATAGATCTTTGCAGCATCGGACTCTCCTTTCACCATCAGATACATCAGCAACTGAATGTCCTTTTGGCTTTGACCCAGTTGCTTCATTCTTTCTGGTGCTACTAGTACTAGCCCTCTGCTCTTCCCCAGTAGCATATTGGACACCTTCCGACCTGAGGGGCTCATCTTCCGGCATCATATCTTTTTGCCTTTTGGTACTGTCCATGGGGTTTTCATGGCAAGGATACTGGAGTGGGTTGCCATTTCCTTCTCCAGTGGAGCAAGTTTTGTCAGAGCTCTCTGCTATGACCTGTCCGTCTTGGGTGGCCCTGCACGGCAGAGCTCACAGCTTCATTGTGCTACGCAAGCCCCTCTGCCACGACAAGGCAGTGATCCATGAAGGGGATGAACCACTAAGACTCAGAAGGCCTGTTCCTGGTGGAGGCATGGACCAACACAACTCCCTGAATGTTCAGGCCCTCTCCTTGGGGGCATCAAGTCCAGGTTCGCTTCAACACTTGCCTCTACATCCCTGCAAGGGAGTCTGTTCCCCCACCCCGCCACCCCGGTCCTGGAGGCAGAGTTGGAAAACCGGAAAGAAAACCCCTCAGTGGCAGGTGTGACAACAGGTGAGCCTTGCGAGACATTCCTCTGCCAGACGATGCAGGCGCTGAGCACCGTGGATCCGCGATCGGTGTGCTTCACGACGGAACGTGCAGCCTTTGTGCTGTGCCTTCACAACGTGGATTGCAGTAAGGAGCCAACGGGGGAGGCGCAGTGGGCCTTCGTAGATCCTGCTCCGCACTTGGAGACTTTGCAGAGCCCCAGCCTGCTGATGGGTCCCCCGCAGGCGTGCCTTTCTGCCCTTCCTCCTCACTCCACTGTGAGCGGCTGCCAGGAAGGGATGCCTGTGTGAGCAGCGCCTTCGGTTGCTCCGTGGCCTCTGGTCCCGGAATACAGTGGGCAGAGGGTGACTTGGCACTTGCACCGTGCGGGTTACTATTTTGGCCTTTAGATTTCTGCTGGATGACCTCACCACTGTGGAAATGACGGGTTACCTCAAATAGAGCACCTCCACCGGCTGGCCGTTTTGCTCCTCGTGATGGCGGGTGCCCACGCCAACCTGCTGCACGACAACGCCTGAGACGTGGAGAGGCCCAAGGGGGAGATTCCTGCAGAATCCCACTTCTGGATGGTGTCTGTGTCTGGAGCGTCCCACAGTTTGGTCAGAGTTTACAGATCTCTCTCGTGCCCCCTGCCACCACACCGTCCGTTCGATCCTCACCTTGAGGCAGGTGAGACTGAGAGACGACCGACCGCCAAGCCAAGATCCCCTGGAGAGCTTCATGACAGAATGGGGAGTAGCGCCCGGCTCGGCCATCCGGGTGGGACAAGGGGAGCTGCCCCAGAATGCTGCACGGACCCCCCTGCCCGAGTGGGTTCCAGCCAGCCGCTCCCGCTCGCCTTTCCCGGCCTGTGTGCTGAGCTTGCACCGCCTTCACTGGGCCCTTTGCGAGGTCGTGGTGGGTCTGACGGAGATTTTTTGAAGAGCGTTTGCATCTCGTCCCCTGGAGCCTTCCGGTGCCTCTCTCCCGTTTCTCAGCAGCATTTTGGCTGGTGTTCCGCCAGCATTATCTCAAGAGTGGTGCCAGGCCTTGTCCGAAGACATTTTGCAAGTGCAGCAAATATCATCAGAGACCACAACAGAGGGTGGCTGTAGCAACAGGCTAGAGGTTTGCTGTTGTTACATGCCCTCAAGTCACCTCCGACTTACGGTGATCCTATGAATGGGCTCCCTCCAAAATGTTCTGCCCTTGAGATTCCTGCTCAGCCCTTGCAAATTCAAGGCTGTGGCATCCTTTATGGAATTGCTCCATCTCATACTTGGCCTTCTTTTTGGGCTTCTATGTAACTTTGACTCTCCCTGCCATGATAGTCTTCCTCAGGGAGTCTTGTCTTCTCATGACATGTCCAAAGTAGGACAGCCTCACTTTTGTTATTTGCTTCTAGGGTAGCCTCTGGCTTGATTTGGTCTAGAATCCCCTTGATTGCCTTTCATTGGTCCAGGGCGTTTCCAAAGCTCTCCTTCAGCACCATCGATCTTACTTCACTCTTCAGCTTTCACACCCAGTGCGGTGGATCATCTTGGCTTTCTTATCTACGATGCAGAGTTTTGCCCTCTCGTCCTAGGAACTTCCTGATATCTACTTTTCATCTGTCACTTCGATGGGATGGTTCATCTCTATTCATTCTAAGCAAGCTCACAATTTTCCTACTCCTCGAGCAGAGAAGAGCCCAGGTCAGT